TATCATAAAAAATATAATTATATTTTTTACATCTATATAATTTACATTAACAGGATTATAATTTATTATTTTCCTTACTCGGGTATTTCTATTTTTGTTCATGATACATATTTTATTCATTTATTAAGAAGAAAAAAAAAATTCTTTGAATTCATTATGTTCTCCATTCCCACATTGCATTTAAGGAGAGATAATTATATATTATTGATGTCATTATTAATATTTGAATGAGATCCATTAAATATATGATATATAATTTTGATTTTTATTTAACTATAATATTTTGATTATTGAAAGAAAATATGCAAATTTTTTTTTATTACATATTATTTTCTTTGCATAATATAAAAACTCACAAAACATATGATATATTTTTAATTTCCTTAGTTGAAAAAGTATCTTCTTATAATTAAAAGTTTGCAAATATAAATTTTTTATGTATATAGGTAGCTATTGCTTCGTAACAAGTATAAATAAAATATATTATAAATGTATTCATATTTTTAAAATGTTGATAGCATTGAATAAAATAATGTATAAAATATAATTTATAATTACTGTATATCTAAAAATATATAAACACTCTTAAATTAATAAGAAAATGTCTAGGTGACATATTGTGCATTTTGGAGTATGTTTTTATTAAATCATATCATGCCTGCAACATATGGATATTATTTATACAGGAAAAGCATATTAATATAATTACTTATAAAAATCTTTAACACATGTCAATAAAATATTTTGTATTTGAATCTATGTACGTATTATTTAATATTTATAAATCTCATGGGTTCATTAAAAAAATAAAGAATTATTATATTCCCATTGATAATCATATTATTTAATTCATATGTATCTAAATATATTATTAGCTAAAACGTGGTCAACAATAGTACCATATTATTATCATAATTTGAATTACAACATTTACATTCATTTTTATTCCATATTTTATATATTTTATAAAAGAGTACTCAATAATATAGTTTATGCTATGCTATAATTTTTTACCTGTAATATGAATTTGCCAAAAAATTCCTGATTACTATGGGTTATAGAAAAAAAAGCATGGTATTCTAGAACCTCTACTGATTACTATTGTGAATGTATTGTTCAATAACCTTTATAATGTATTAACTATACCAGGGATCATATATGCTATAGATTTATGCGCCACGCACGTAAATTAAAGAATAAAGTAACTTAATTTATCCAGGATATGTATACATATACTAATGGCTATATAATGAGTGTAAAGAGAAATATATGAGCGTAGAAATAAAAAAAAATTTTAGAAAATTGAAAGAAATATATGAATAAACTGAGCAAGCAATATTTAGAGGTTATAAAAAAATTAATATTACAGAATTACAGTTTGAAAGGTTATATGATATATATAACATAAACATAAAACAAAGAATTCCTGATAATAATAATTAAAAAGAATATTATTATGCATTTTAAAGAATATATGTGAAAGGAATGAATAAATGTGATTGCAACACATACTCAGAGTTGAATAAAACATTATAAAAATATAGAAAAGAATACAATGATTATCTGAAATCCATAAATCAAATAAAATTAGAATAACAAAATTTACCCCTTTTCAGAAGATATAATAAAATAGCATATATATATATATTCCAATGGTCCTAACATTAGTAATATAATTTCTTTTATTTGTTATGTATAACGTTAGTTACAATATCATTTATATTTTTATGCTATAGAATAATTTTCCTAAATAAATTGAAAAAGACAGAATTCATAATATCAAATTTGCATTATTAATATATATATTTATTTTTATATTGAATAAGTCCACATAAATTCGTTCATTTTTGCACCATAAAATAATAAAGAAAAAAAGTATCCACAGCAATATAGAAGAAGGGATAAATGCACTTAATTATTCAGATATATCTGACAAAATTTCATGAGACAGCAACTATAATATATTTTACAATTATGATAATTGTTAATATTAAATGTACAACTAATTAAAAAATATAATTTATAAAAATATACAGATTTGTATGGTAAGTGCATCAAAATAATTCTCTATATAACATTATATAATTATTAAATAGTTATTGCTATATAACAAAAAGTAAAAAAGCATTAAATTATTTATTTAATACATTTATCCTTAAAATAAATAATATAATAGTAAGAAAAATAGTATTACATAAAGGTACATGCATATGTAGCCTTTAATTTATAAAATGCTATAACTTATCCATAAGAATAATATACTGTATGTGGTATAACAGTTATATATATTATATATTAAATAATATATTATAATTAAGAAAAGTAATGTTAATTTCTCTAGATATACCATAATATTTTGATATATAATATAAATCGAAAATATATTTACATTAAATTTATATACGTATTCATAAATTAGTTTGATATATGTGTTTTCATTTTATTTTAATATAATTTCCTTTATAGAATTAAAATTTAATACGTGCTTCATGTATATTATACATATAGGTGAAATATATTGACACTGATGTTTTGTTAACATATCCATGGATATAAATTATGAGATGTATATTACTTCTTGCTTTATTTATTTTTTCATTCTTTTTATATTATTATTGCAGTTTTTTTTTTTTTTTATTTTTTAAATATTACTCTTAATTTAAAAATATATTAGTAAATTATATGTTTCCTTCTTTCAATATTAACAAAAGAAAATTAAAAAATTATGTATTTATTATGATTGACACATAGCTACATGTAAATTTATTTAATGTTAAAAATCATTACACTAAATATATTTTAATATTAAAAAAATAATTTCTTTCTATTAACACATAATTTAATTCTCCTTATATTATTTTATTTAAAAATTTTATATGAGAAAAATAATTACACCATAGCATCACAATTTTACTTATAAAATATATGTCATAACATAAATAATAAAATAGCACTATCATATAAAAAAATAGCATATCTCAATTTTTGTTTATTATTAATGTTTTAAATTAAGAATTCATACATTACGAAATGATTACATGCCATTATAAAGATTATTTGTAAAACAATATTTTAGGTAATATTGAAAAACATATTATGCATTAAAGGATAATAAAGTTCAAAATAAATAAGAAATGGATAAATATATATTTCCCATTTATTTTAAAGAAATCATGTTAGCATTGTGTATTAAATACATTCTCTGTAATAAAAAATTGATAATACGTGTGCTAATTCTTCAAAATAAAATACTATTGCTATATTACAATGTGTTTAAATGATTTTTTTAATATTATTCTATTACATAACACTTCTTGTTCTAAGCATCATTTATTGTTATATTTTAGTAATAATCACTAGTATATACAAGGAATATAAATGTCATGTTACTAAAAAAGCAAAATTAACAAACATATTCTCTAAAGGATATAATGAGTAGAACTACATAAACAGTGCATAATTATTAATTGTCTTTATTAGGGTATAATATATATTATAAATAAAAATAATTAGAATAAAATATAATTTATTCTTTTTTAATATAATTTTTGTTATATATTTAATCAGCATGTATTATTTTTTTTTTTTTATAATTTATAATCATATACATCATTTAAGGAATTATGTCTTATATTTTGTGTATGATATATAAAAAATTTAAAAAATGTATAATAAATGAAAAATTACAAAAAATTCTATAATTATGTACATAATGACGCTTTATATTTTATAGATATCTATTTATATTTTTAAAAGGAAATAAGAATATAAGCAAAATAAATTACAAATAAAATTAATAAGTGTATAACTCCCTTAAGTTCTTATATCGGATAACAAACGTATTTGGTAAGTTTTATATTAAAGCAAATAATACATATGTAGTGATTATAGTTTAATGCTTATGTATATCTATTTATATATAATTCTCATATTATATATATAAATAGAAAAAAAGAAAGCACAAATCCATTTTAGTCCCCTATATTAATACTTAGGAATACTAATATAAAACATGATTTTATGGAATTGTAGAAATATTAGAGGTACAAAAATTTATATACATGTCATAAATGTAATATTTATTTGAAAACATTTAGAATATAATTTTTTATAAGTAATAGTAAATAAAAAATTCTCCCGAGCTAATTAGTATATGTTAAACACCATGAATATAATATCTGTTAAGAAATATGTAAGTCTATATTTTTCATTATGATTATAAATAATGTCTTCTCTCATAAAAATACCATATTATATGAACATAAAGTACATGCTATATATATTATAGCATAATATTAAATTTATTTTACCATTTCAATCTCTCTCTTCAGTTTTATTTCAAGCGTATTTTTCCTACATGTATGAATCATTATAATGAGACCATAAGTGTTCATATAAATACAAAAGGGTAACCATAATTAACCCTGTTCTATGAGGTATATAAAAATGTAGGAAAATCTGATTATACATTTATTTTTGTTTCCTAACATCTTATCCTTTATTTAAAATACATAAAAATCAAAAGAACTAATAAAAAAAAAAAAGCACCACGCAAATATTTCAGCTATAAACTGAATAATAGACTAACACCTTTGAATCTTTCTTGTTTAAATAAAAAATAACGTTAAGAATTAATGAAAAGTGTAAAATTAAAAGATATATATAATGAATATAACACATGAAATGATCATATTTTTGATCTTAATGAAGGAATCATTGATATTATGAATAAATTAAATTATCTATACAATAAAAATGAATCATTAAATGATAAATCCTAAAACTCTGAACTCCAAACCTAATAATACTCTGAAAGATTGCCTTATTAAAATGACAAATTAATATCTATTTTATATTTGTTATATTTTTGGTATTATTTTACATTACTATGTGTTATTTAAAAAAATTATATCTACATCCATTGCTTAGGTCAATCTTTATATATTATGAACAAGCTATTTAATTTTAATTATATATTCAATTGTAAATTTTTTTTTAATTTATATTACATTGTAATTATAATTCCATGAGTTACTGTCAAATGATTCAGGAGATTGTAATATATTCCATTCTTTATCTTTATGAATCCATATTTTTCTTATATTATTTATTCTACGGCGAATGCAAGAACCATATGAGCTAAACTAAACAATAATAAATTAAATTTATATATTAAATATAAAATTTTATACAATATATTTTTTAAAATAGATAGTGTGATTATTTTATATTATAGTTACGTAGAATTAATATAGTACTTAACCTGATAAAAAATAAGTAATAAAAAAAAAAGTACCATCATTATGACAACAGTTATAATAATAGAAGCTGCATTATAACTTCTATTATATGCTTGTATGTTAGTTGATTCCATTTTACTCCTTTTAGATTCTATTTCTGTATTATATTGATCTATAATATTTTTTAATGTGTCACAATATCGTTTTTCTTCATCATCCATTTTTTTATTGAGGCAGATATATACATCAAAAATAGATTCGAGTTTTTTCAATTGATGATTACTAATTACCTTATTTATATAAGCCTTGTATTCCTCTGTTTTATATAGTGCCTCATATCCATTGAGAAATGCTTTAAAAACATCATAGATTTTGTATGTTCTAGCGTGATTTGTATGTTTAATGTATATCCAATAATATAAATATATTAATGCAGCTTCTATTGATATATTATATTCATTTCTGTGATAATTAATTTTCTTTAAATATGAGAAAATTGTACAGTAATTTTCCCTATAGAATTTTTCAATTTCTGGTTGACCCTCTGTAGGAGAGCTATCATAAACATCCAAACATGTGTCTCCAATAATAGATTCATCCAAAAGTTTTTCACATTTAGAAATAGAAATTATATTGCCATGCTAAAAAAAAATTATTGTATAAAAAATGTCACATTATTTTTAAAAAATATGTATAACACTTATGAAAAATATAGCATACATGTATATAGATTTCTAAATTATAATAACTAAAATGTACTTCAATTTCCAACATTGTATATAATATTATATTTTTTTTTAGATTAATTGTAGATATAAATTTTGTGAACGAACAAATATCTATTTTTCATTTTAAGGATGCTTATGATGAAAATGCATAATGTCAAAAATTTTTAAAATAATAATAATTTAAAACTGCTAAGAGTTACTTAACTATCAATTTATAAAAATTGTAAAATATAGTATTAAACGAATATGATTTACTATACATGTTTTCGATTTCTTAAAATAAATATATAAATATATGTAAGTGTATATTATAAAAAAAAAGGGAAAATATACTACCCATGCTAATGTATAATTAAAAATGTATACTGCGGTATAAAGTCTATTCAATAAGGCTATCATGCAGTTCAGCATTTACTATTTATATATGTAAGATTTAGGGTATCAGATTTATGTTTTTGTTATGGGGATTTCGAATATCAAATTAATGTTTTATATTTCAGATTATATATAAAAATTTTTTTTATATAAGGAATACTTTTTTCCTAGGAGGATTTTATATACTCTCATTAATATTTATAATATAAATTTAGATGACATATATAGTACATATATATAATTTTATTCAATATAATTATTAAAATGTAATTTAAAAACTTAGTAAAAAATTATAGTTAATGTGCTAATCTATGTTTCTACACATAATTAACATTATGAATAGATTAATTTTATTTCAAAACCTTAAATTACAACAATATAGATAATAAAATATTCGGTTAAGTATTAATTTTTATAGATATTTATATATCTATGATGATAGTTCATTTATTTTATATATATATATTAATAGAACAAAGCAGCATACTCAAGAAATATACATTTTTCTTTAAATAAAATTATTTAAATAAAATCTGCTTTTGATGCGGAATGAAATAATATTTTACACGTTTTATAATATTTCTCTTTTTTAAGCGATATATGAAGCAAAATTATGATTGTTCACTCTGCACTAGATATATATATACTTGTATACAATATAATATTAGCGTATTATATTATGCAGTTAATCATACATAAAATATAACAAATATAAGAAAGTCATTATCTCTATGAAAAAATAAATTACATTATTAATTTTATGAATTTTACTTTCACATAGTACTTGATTTGTAGTTCTAATAGTGAAAACGAATTATATATGAATATTAATAGATAAATATTTTGCATAAGACATTGTAATAAATATTATAAGACTAATTTTATATATTTTAAGATATATCATCAATGATTAATGTTTCCACATATAAATTATTATATAAAACAAATGATTACATATGGATTATATTTTTCATGTAATGTGTGATCAATTAAATTTTATAATTACATCTTACGTTATTTAGAATAATTATTAGGTTTCAGTACATTAATCGTAATAAAAATATTTATATAATACACCAGGCCATTATGATTTTGCTAATTTACGTAACCACAACCAATATAATATATTTTTAATATTTTATTTTATCTTTTATTTTTAGTATGAATTTACTCGTTCTTTTACAATATCATTAAAAAATTTTATAAATTAAATATCATATAATTATTTCAGGATATAATATGAATATATTATAAAACTAATTTTCTCATTTTTTATTCGTTATAATTAACATAGAGTATGAAATAATAAAATGTCAGAAAATATAATATGCTTAGACAACCTATATGTATCATATAATATACCGAAACAGTATTAGTAATAGCGTAATAAGAAAACACACATAAACTTATAATTACATTATAGTATCGTATTGTAACCGAATAAATTATATTCATAATACAATGAGAAGGAAAATTTTAATATATAATTGTTTCTATATATTTTCATTTATTTATTTACACATAAAATCTAAATAAATAATTTAAAATCGATTCCTACATAATGTTATATGTCATATGTTAATTTATACATCATAAGATCTTAAATAAACCATGATTCAGACATCTACTAGTTCTAATTGGCACAAATTTACAAAATATGATATATTATATATTATTTCTAGAAATTTCTATTACTGAATGATGTCTAATGCTTTTTTTTTTTTTATATTACATTTCTAATTCAACATAGATGCAAATCAACTTAACCAGGAGTATGAATAAATTATAAAGCAAAAGCTTTTTATAATAATATAATTTTTTTAAAAAGACATTATAATAAATATGAAATAATTTTTGATTTGATTAAATGCTATTTTTGTAAACACATACAAAATAAAAAATGTTAACAAAAATTTAAACGCGGTGATTATAAATGATTCTACTATAAAGATAAATATGTATTACTTTACATTTTACCTAATATATACTTAAAGAATTCTGTTTGGAATTTTTAGAATTAGTATTATTTTATGATTATCATGTGTCACTAAAACATTACTATGTTTTATTATCATGATAGGATATTTATTTTTACATTAATCAAAAAATTAAAATAGTTATAAGATCTCTTGTCAGATTCAGATAATTTTGAACAAATTTTATTATGTTAATATACTTCACATTATAATAATATAAAATCTATAATTCCAAGAAATGGACTCATCAATAGAGACATTATGCTATTAAAATATTTTAAAGTATTCTAATATAGATATCAGAGACACAAATGTCTCATAGAAAAAGTAATTGGTAATAATTTTCATATTATATTTATTACATTATATAGTATACGACAAAAAAGATCTCTAATTTAATAAATAGGAATGTAAAATATTTTGATTATACTATACATTTGTGCAATTATTCAAAACATAAATGAAACTAATGAAATTGTCAAAATTTTACTAACATTCCTATAAAATATATAAAAAGTTTTAAAGAAAAATATCATACTTATGCATTAAATGAACACATCATAAACTGTGTAAAAATGGTAAGCAAGAATTAATAATTAAGTAATATTTATATAAAGATTACAGGTTTCAGAACTATTACATAGTTTAGGATATTTATTGAAATGTTATTTATAATAAATATTTAATCACATTCATTTGATGTACAGTAATTTGAAAATAATATATAATTTTTTATTTATACATATTTTCTGCATATACTATAAATTATTATTTATATTATAATGATTTAAGCGAATTACTTATTTTATTGTTCATAAAAATATAAATTTTGGAAATAATGTTAATATATAT